TCTTAATTTACTAGAACTAAATGAAAATATGACACTAAATAGGACGCAATGGAGAAAAAGGATTCATGTAGCCGACCCCACGTAGTGGGATTAAGGCTTTGTTGTTGTTGTTGTTTGTTGTTGTTGTAAGGTTTTTTATTCTTCACTCTATGCTTTCTAATTAATGTTGTGCTCTTGCAGTGCATTTAAGCACTATTGGTTCTCAGATTCCTATGATTAAACATTTAGACTAGATTAGCATGCAAATACTGTTAATTAACTAATATGATATCATGAATGAAATGAGTGAAAGAATGATTCAATCTAATATGTTAATCACTAAAGATGCCTAACTTTAAAAAAGCAAAAAAGAGATGATAAACTAATCATAACTTGTGGCATATTTAAGAGAACAATAGCAGAGAAAGGGTAACTAAGTTGATTTCCACGAACAACTGTTTGCTTGTCAATTTCCTTCCTTGGATGTCCTTTTTGTGAATTTGTACTCTCAATTAGTTCTTTAATGGGGAGGTTAAGTACATAATGAAGAGCAGTAAACTTGGCAGAAGTATGTTTTTATTTAAATATTCTTATAATTTGGTAATACATGTTAAGATAAATCACTTATTTATAGATTAGAAAGAGAGGCACCCCAAAAATTTAAGGGAGGGAGAATGTTTGTTCGATTCCTGCTCCCATCATCATGGGGATGGGTGCAGGAGTGAGCTTCTAAAAGGTTTTGTTTAATTTTTTAAAATTTTAAAATCAATGGGAGGGAAGCGAATAAAGATCTTTTAAAAGGTTAAATAAGTGAGTTTTGTTCTTAATCGAGAAAGAGAGGGATGACTTTTTTTCCATGTAAGATTATGTGGTGGTCTAAAAAATGATGTGACAAGTCAATAGTAATGAGGCGGCTAGCATTTATATACTGGTGGGCAATAGGTGATTTATAGGGGATAAACTTGGGTCATTTAACTTCATTGAATGTAGCTCTGAAATAAAGGATGACAATGACAACGCGACAATTATTGCTTCAAGTCATCCATGATCCTTAGTAGGGATGCTATTTCTTGAATATGTAATGAAGTAATTGGCTTGCCAATGAACATGTGGTACCTCAGGCATGGACAAAATAATAGTAGTAGCATCAATGACAAATTCATATCCACGAATACTATTTGCATATCTATACTATTCGTAAAAAGGAACAACATAAATATTTAACATTGAAAAAAATGTAGCATCCATAAGAACATCTATTTAATAGCATTATTATTAATCTTCTTCGTAACCTTATAAACTTAATATTTCTTGAAACCTCACTTATTAAGAGTTCTAGATTGACATCCCTTTCTAGCTTAACTAGAATAAAATCTCACCGATTTATTTTAATATTGCCAAAGTACATTAACATAAGTTTGATACTTGTCATGTCTCAATATAGTTTTATGTTAATTTTCATATTGCTATTTATGCACACTTCGAGCAAATGAAGATGTGAATGTATTGAAGTAACAACTATCATCATTGGGGTATTGTTTATTAACATGAAATGTCATTTATTCTATTGCTGAACGCTAGTTAGTCCAATGTACTTAAAAGGAATACTCACTTAAATCAAATTAAGAGATATTTCGACAAAGATTCATCTAGACATAGGCCTTGGAGCTAAACCAAATGGTTACTCAGCTCAACACATCATTTATTGAAAAAACCACTAGAAAGTTTGGGCAGATCTTGATTCTAGGGGTTCATGTTATTATGTCCTCCAAAGGTGTTTCCATGGATATTTTCTCATAATTATTACTTGGGAATTGCTATAATGTCATATGGTTAATGATAGTTTTTCTAATACCTTTTTCTCATCCAATCTACGAATCTAATTCTATTATTTTGGAGGTGATTACTGAAATAATTTATGTAATTTTCTATTATTTTGAACATGGTTGCTAAAATAATAGACCTTGTTATTGTAACTCTGAACATGGAATTTGGCTATTGGAGTAACTTCATTTTGAATTCTACTATGCATGTTCATGATTTAAGCTATCATATTAAGAATTTGAATAACTAGATTCATTATTTTAAGGGTCGTTAGGAGTCATTTTTATTTTATTTTATTATTTGAATTAAAATATATTTGCTATGTTATAAATATATTTTTAATTTTTTTTAATGTTTTGATTTCAAATAAACCACAATGGTCAGATTATGGTAGTGGGTAGTAGCTGGTGGTAGACATGGGTGATGGCGACTGACAGTGACTAGCATCAGTGTTATTTATCATTAAAAATACTCAATATTTTAAATTTATTGTAGTGTCTTTAAAAATAAATTGATTTATTTTTAAAAGTAAAAACGTTTCATTTTCACCGTCACATTAGTAAAAAAGAAGTTGAGGAGGCTTTAAAGAAAACCAAGGGTGGAAAGTCTATAGGACCTGATGATATCTCAATTGAATTATGGAAAAGTTTAGGAGATTTGGGAGTTTCTTGGCTTACTAAACTCTTTAATATTATTTTAAAAACTAGAAAGATGCCTAAGGAGTGGAGGAAGAGTATTTTGGTCCCCATTTTTAAGAATAAAGGGGATGCACAAGAGTGTGCAAGTTATAGATATGTGTCATACTTTAATCATACTTTAAGATTATGGGAGAGGGTAATTGAAAATAGGTTAAGTCGTACTACAAATTTCTCATAATCAATTTGGATTTATGTCGGACAGGTCTACTATGGAAGTTATGCATTTATTGAGAATTTTGATGGAGGTGTTCAGAGATAATGAGGAGAATCTTCATTTGATTTTTATTGATTTAGAAAAAGCTTACGATATAGTTCCAAGAGATATCCTTTGGAGAGTTCTTGAGAAGGAAGGTGTTGATATTACTTATATTAAAGTCATTAAAGATGTGTACTAGAGCTGTTACTTGTGTTCGAATTGAAGGAAGATTGACCAAATATTTTCTTATTTCCGTTGGATTACATAGGGATCGATTTTAAGCCCATATCTTTTTGCTTTAGTTATGGATGGTCTTACTGGACATTTACAGGAGGATGTACCCTGGTGTATGCTTTTTGTTGATGATATCCTTCTTGTGGATAAGACAAAAGAAAAAAACTCAGGAAAAACTTGAATTATGGAGGTCTACATTGGAGTCTAAAGGCCTTCATTTGAGTAGAAGTAAAACTGAATACCTGGAATGTAATTTTAGTAGTAGTAGCTTTACTGACAGAAGTGTAACTTTGGGTAATCAAATTATTAAAGGTGTGAAAGATTTAGATATCTCGGGTCTGTTGTTCAAAGCGATGGTGATATAGATGG